ATTACACGAAAGAAAAAAATTCTTTCCAAACAAATACTTATATATGAACACTGAATTATTCAGAAGATATTTTTCTCTGCTCGGTTTGTATTTCAAACATTCGTTGTGGAATAAAAATCAGATATCATTCACATGAGTTCTACTTTGAATGAATGGTGATACATTGCACTTACATGAAACACTGTCATCCCTTTTTTTGTATCAAGATGGAGTAGTAGAAAGCCAAAAACTTTCTTTCCCAAAACGTAATCACTCCTAAAAATATAACCTCTTCAATTCAAATAAGATTCCTTTTAATACCTATCACCCGAATATAGCATAAGTCCTTTTCTTGTCGTTGGGTATTATCTGTAATAAATTGAAAGAGACACTTTTCTTAAAAAGTTTCCGACAGTAACTATTCAACTATATGAAAAAAGCTAAATATATTCCTCATCAATTCGAGAATGAACAAAAAAGCTTCAGCCTAAATTCAAAAAAATCTATTAAGGTGTATGATCATTAATATTTCTATCACCAAAAAACTTGTGATACCACTCACATTGGCACTCTTCAATAAACTCCAGTCAGCATCGAAAATAAAACTGTGAAGACTGTCGAAATCATTTTGTAGCATCATGGATTTCACGAAGAGGGCCAGAAAACAGCCAAAGGTTGGAACTACCAGCAACAACAGTAACCTGATGTAACTTTTCGTTCTGCCAAACGATCTGAAAATGGAAGAGAATTAGTGAAGTTAGTTTTCCGTTGGGTCAACAGTAACCTACAGCACTTACAATATGGTTATCACTAGCCACACCATCAACAAAATTCCGGCAAAAACCCCGTACCAGTAAGGATCTTCTGAAGGTGGTTTGAGAAATGTTGCCCTGCAAATATATAGAAAATATTATTGAAGGAAGAAAATATTATCCACGGCTTTACCTCAAACATTGTTGTCCACTCTTGCCGTAACTTGAGTAACCGTCCTGCAAAATATAGTTTGAAAAGTCACTATCTCATTTGTTGAAACTTAGGTATACAGTGTGTCCTCAAAGTATGGAATAAACTCGATATTTCCAAAACCAAAAGTCGTTTTATAAAAACCTGAAATACGTCGATTTTTAATTTTAATATTCTGCATTTTACAACAAAATTTCGTTATACAGGGTGATCCATATTAATGTGATGACGTCATCGGTAATTTTTTAAATACAACACCCTGCATTTTGTGTCAGTTTTAGATAATCCGTAACCTTGGGCTCTAACTGACAGAATTTGAAAGATATATGCTTAGAAAATAAATTTTATTGATATATAATAAAAGTAGAAATTAATTAATTATATTGTTTTCTAATGATTAATTTAAAAATGGAAAAGTCATCCAGTCATAAATACATGACTTAATTTTANTGACACCGAATACAGGGTGTTGCATTTAAAAAATTACCGATGACGTCATCACATTAATATGGATCACCCTGTATAATGAAATTTTGTTATGAAATGTAGAATATTAAAATTAAAAATCGACGTGTTTCAGGTTTTGTAAAACAACTTTTGGTTTTGGAAATATCGAATTTATTCCATACTTTGCGGACACACTGTATATTGCCAATACTTGGATGAGGAAAAATTACTCGGTCTGCTAAATCACATATTTTAGAAAGAGAAATGGAGTAGAAAAAGCAGAATTTCAAATGATCTAAAATAACATAAACAATGGAGGATTTGTTAGCAGTGTCTTGCCTACGGATGTTGACTGCATCATTGAACTGTGCTAAAGATATTCCAGCATTATGGCTTCGAAAGTATTCAACATAAGCAGAGGTGTTTGTGTCTTCATCAAGAAGTCAGTCAAACTTGATGTGAAATGTGGCATGCCCCAAGGATTCATTCTTTCAGCACCCCCCTTACATCACATGAAAAGATACAGGCAGTGTATGAAAATTGAAGAATGGTGTGATGGTAATTGCTGCCGCATAAAATCGTAATAAATGTGTTTCAAGGTTCCTTTACAAGGTATACAGATTATTGAAATATTTACAACTTTCACTATTCAATTATTATTCATTACTGAAGTCCACAAGAGTTGAAAATCACAGGCAATTTATATATGCCCCACAGCTTTACTTGGATGAATTGGTTATCAAATTATTACACNTATAACCTGAACCAACAAGAACAGAAAGTTTATACATCTAAAGCTGAATCACTCCCCAAACAACAACAAAATGTTATTAAAGGAAACATAAAACCAACCAAGACCATTTTTACTGCTTAGTTCCAATAGCTCAAGGATAGTCCAGATATATCAGATCAAGTAGATTTTGCAAATGCATGCAATTAGAAGTTGTTCATTGTGATTGAGCTACACTTTCTCTAAAATACCTGTTACTAATATAATTATTAGAAGAGGAAATTTTTATCAGGGACGGCTTTACCTATGGTGTGAGAGGTGTGGTGCACCCGGGTGTTAGGGGGCGCTGAGAACAATTTGCGACACAGTCTCAGCTGTAACGCTCCGCACGTAGCGGGCTCTTGCCCTCATAAGAAATGAATATGTGGGTAGCGGGGTTTTGATAAAATTGCATACCTACGCGCGCGACGAATGTCCAGCGTCTTGCTTACAGCATATAGAGCATGCGCTGTGTTACGGTTGACGCGGTAGGAAAGCAAGAAGCTCTTTTACCATTAGTTCCTATACGATAAATTAGTTTCAACATGAAAACCGCCTTGAAACGATTAATTAAAGTTCACATTGGCGTAGTGTTGCTCCGCTTCAAAAGGCGCATGCCGGTACCTGTTTTGATTCGTTTGGAGACAAAATATTTTTGAAATAACTACAAAGTTACCCGTTTTCATTTTGTAACCCTTTCTTTCCTGAAATATACTTTCTACTCCTGTACAGACGCCTTGGAGTGAGCCAGGATTGGCTCCTCCTACTACTGAAAATTTTAGGTAAGAAATAATGGTATTTTTACCAGCAAAATCGTTAGTACCAACTAATGATTGTATCATGTAAAATCTTTTTTTTGCAAACTTGAATGCGTTGAAAATAATATATTATTTTATAGATAGCTTTCGAATATTAGAGCTTGGAAAGATACTGGAGGTTGATTTGTTGCTAATGCAGTATTTCAATTTTTTTATTGACAAATATGATTTGTTGCTAATACACTATTTCAATTTCTTTATTGACAAAATAAACGTGTTGATTTCATTAATAACAATGTAAAGC